CAGCTTTATCTTGGAAGCCCTGTCTCTGGGCAGAATGCACCTTTGTGGTTAAACATCCTTGAAGTTGCAGATACATTCTTGCCACTTCCACACATGCAAATGGGCCTGCTGCCTCAGAAGACCAGTTCTCATGTGACATCATGTGCCTTGTGGTTTTCATTCCACCTGTTAGTTTTTCATGAAGATCTTGGGAAGAAACTCCTTGAAAAGTGTGATTTGGACCATTGTGATTTGGGGGGTAAGATGAGGCACTTTACCCCTATGAATAATTTATCCATCTCATGAATATTTATAAAAACTTATTAAAAATCAACAGCACATTGAATAAGAGTGGAGAGAGTGGGCACCCTTGCCCTATATCATATGATCCTGGGCAACATAGAAAGGCCTTGTCTCAAACGGAAAGAGCAAGGGAGATAGATGGGTGTGGGAAAGGGAGAAAATGGAGGAATTCCTGGTACATGCTACAGTGCAGATGAATGTCCAAGGCTCTTGGGACTCAGTGACTGCACCTCTTCAAGAGCATTGTTCCATGAACAGCTTTCCCCCTCAATGAGAGAAATATACCCACAATCTTTCAATGGCTTTTCTTAAGATCTATAAAAGGAGCTACAGTGCTAATTCCTTTGAAGCCATATCTCTAAGATTCAGCTTTCAGCTCAAAGTATTTAAACATAACTTATTTCTTTCTTTCTCACAAATTAGTAATTGTTTTATGTCATTTCCCTTATACTGACCTGAAGTAATTTTCTGCTGACTAAGCATCAAAAATATTACAAAGTTCCCAGCTACTGATTATTTTTAATAAAATATAAATGCATGATTTCCCCCTTTCTTTTCTTCCTTCCAATGCCTTCAATGTGGTCCCACTGCTCCCCTTCAAAATCATGGCCCCTCTTTCTTTACAGATAGGAAAGAAGGAGTGGGGGAAGGAGAATGGGAGGGAGGAAGGAATGGGAGGAAGGGAGGGAGGGAAGGAGAAAGGAATGGGAGGGAAGGAAGGAAGGAGAGTAGGAGGAATGAAAGAAGGAAGAAAGGAAGAAAGAAAGAAAAAAGAAAGGAAGGAAGGAAGGAAGGAAGGAAGGAAGGAAGGAAGGAAGAACCTGAGTATATAAATATAACCTACTCTGTCTCTTTAGTGTTACTAGCACATGTATGATTTTCAGAACTTGTTGGGGACTACAGACCCTCAGACCCTGAATTTTCTATGACCCCTTGCCTGCCAGAGTAAACAACTTGTTTTCCTGTGCTTACAGCTGCTCTGAGCACGAGACCCTCATGAGTTCCTGATGGCAGGGGAGTAGTTTCTGGTGGGCTTGAAGCTAAAAAAAATCCCTAGAGCTAGGGTGTGGCCATTCAAGGAGAATACTATATAAGCTGCCCTGGAACACAATAAAGAGGCATTCTTATTTCAAGGATGACCTCTCTCTCTCTCTCTCTCTCCATATATATATATATATATATATATATATATATATATATATATATAT